AGAGAAGGCAAAAACATTTAAAATATCTCCTTTGATAGTGGCAACCTATATGTGATTGGATAGCCTGTGATTAAAACTTTTTTCTATAAAATAAAATGAATTATAAAAGCTGGAGTTGTTTTGCTATAAGGAAGTGCTGATTGTCATGTGATGTGGATCTTCATTTTTATTATTTTGGCAAGAACAGGGACAGTTTTGTCTTGACAAGCCATTAGATGAATACCAGCGTGTGTCACATGAAAAACCACTGATCTTTAACCCAGCTCTGTACTTAACCAAGCCTTGAAAATGAATGGTGAAAAAAAAGAAGAGCAAAGGCCGGTTTACTGTCATTACAGATTACAGAATCTGTTAACAGCTGCTGAACTGAACCCAGGGAATTATAGGTATTGTTCCTTGAACCTGCAAAAATCTTAGAGATGCTTATGCTGTGTGTATACATTATACATTTATTTGATATTTGTCTAGGATTTACATTATTGGAAACATAGCTAGAAGAAATGAAAGTCTTCTATAGTTTGAGTAGACTAAATGCATGCTTTTATCACAAAACCATATATATTTACATAGAACTGTCTCTGAGATTCCTCTGCCCCTATTTGTAGAACTTATTTTAATAAAGCAATATTTTTATAGAAATTGTTAATAAGTATTAAAAAGAATAGAACAGGTATAAAAGATCCATCCTCCAAAAAGAAACACTCCACAAACAGGTAAAATAAAATCCTGAGCTCATTTGTTTCTGCAGGTCATTGTGGCTGATAGTTATACTTTGTAATTTTTTCCACCCCTTTTTTTAGGGAGGAAGAAACCTAAACATACCTCTGTACCCAAATACTGAAAAGATCAGTAATATTTTAAACAATCAATCAGAGTGGGAATTAGTGCTTACAGAGCTAACAAGAAAGAACACACTTTCTTAGTCTGCTGGTGGAATTATATTGTGCCTCCCTATAGTCTTGTTATCCCACACTAACTGAAATGCAAATTCTTTGCAACTAATTGGACCTCATTGAGGGTACATGCACAGTACGTAGTTATGTGCAAAAAGGTTTAAAAAGTATTTTTTTCTATAATTACAACTTTTAATTACTGTCTAAATCATCAGCATCTCTAAAGTGGGTTCAGAAAAAAATATATATATTTAACTTTTTACAGGGTACTCAAAACCACAAGCTAGGAAATGCTTAAATGCACCAGCTCAAAAGTTAGCTGGAAGATGTTTATTTACAGCAGTCTATAAATGGGATTTTATTAAGTTCCTGTGAAAATAATTTTTTTTGAGGTTTATGATTTAGTATCTCAGCATCAGTACACTGATCATGTTAGGGACCAGTGGAGTCCTTGGAATATTTTAGAGTTAGGGCATTGTAAACATCAGGAATCATTTCCAAAAGCTGTTGTCTTTCTTTTCCCCTTGTTATACATTCTCTTCCAACATCATAAAATACATTTGAGTTTCTTTTTTTGTGTACGTGTATTTCTGCTATGTGCTGTGGTGAGATGGACGTATTTGCATTCCCATAATGTCTTTAATAATCTGAGTCCTACTTAGACCTACTTGGTATACTTCTTAATTTCCATGATCTACCTTTCATTATTAGTTAACGTGGGAAAGCAAGCACATGTCCTCTTGAAGTTGTGATTCTTTAACCTGAAAAACACTGAATCAAGCAACAAAAACAATCATTGTGGAAATGATTCCTATTTCCCTTGATAGTTTTAAATAAGTTCAATACCTGTAAAGCTAGATAATTGTCACATAACCTGCAGAGTATAGCCAGTGGACAGACACACAGGCATCACACTCTTATAGGTACATTTGTGTGTGTGTGTGTGTGTATGTGTGTATCCTTAAAATTATATAGGTGCCTGTGTGCTAAATAGAAAATCATCACAGGTTCAAGAACTGTACACATCTTGCTTTGTTTTAATGTGGAAGTGAGTGGCAAGTTCAGGTCATGCAATTTGGGAATTTCTAGAGGAATCAAACTTGTATTTTCAAAATGATTTAAAATGAATGTTCAAAACTTAACAGTCTGCAAAAGCACATATTTACAACCTTGACTTTTAAGGTTAACTCATTTACTGTTAAGTCTTTGGGTTATTTTTTATCTTATTGTAATAAAATTTTTTCTCTTAACTAGTTTTTCAAAGTAGTTAAAATTTTGTTTGATCAAATCCATTTGCAAGTGCATTATCATTATCATATGCTAGATTTGGTGAGAAAAAAATGTTCTAAATCTTAGGAAGATATCCTGGTGCTTTTGAGACTGTGCCTTGACAGTAACATGCAGATACTAGTTGCGTTGCAGACCTGTTTCATCTAGGGCAACCTCAGACCTTGATATCTGAAAGAGCTCAGTTTGCCTATGCTAGGTAGCATTTTGTCAGAATACTGCTTGCCGGGCAGACCAGATTTGGATGTATTAGCTAGTCAGCCTAATAACCCTGTACAGACTGTATTGATTTTCTAGGAGAGAGTTTATGAACTAAATAAACTTGGGGTTGGTGTCTTAATAAACTGCTTCTCTCAGTCTGTCACATTTAGTTACGGAGCTGTGCAGTTTAGGGGGAAAAAAGGCTAATTCTGTTACAGATTGTTCACAGCAGGGTCTCCAAATTAGCCCTTTGTTTTGTAATGCCACCTTGCTTGGGCTCGCTTTGAGCACATTTCTCAGTTTTGCCCTAATGAGTTGCAACACTGATAATGTGGCTGATGATCTTTCATTGATTTCACTATCACTTGCTTGTCTGGTAATTGATCCGTTGCTGAGCCTCTAGTTAATTATATCGGCTTTGACATGGCCCGGTCCACAGGGAATTTCAAGTCTTGCAGAATAACAGTTTTAATAAAAGAGTCTATTACTGCAGGTGCTTGCTGCTGCATGCCAGTTGATTTTTGTGTTGGTGTGTGTGTGTGTGTGTGTGTTGGGATAGGAGGAGGATACCTGGGAAAGAAGAGAATTGTAAGAAAGAAGGGGGGTGGCTAGAAGAGGAGGAAGAGGGAGTGAAGGAGAGAGGAAGGAGGAGGGGGAAAGTACATAGGGGGAGAGCAAGAGGCGAGAGAAAACAGGCAGGCAAAGCGATACAACCAGCCTGAGAGGGGCGAGGAGGAAGCTTGCTATTGACAGTGTCCTTAAGCCTCCCACAAATAACAGCCATTAGTGGGAAGGTCAGGAGCTGAGCAGGCAGCTTGACTGAGGCACTGAGTGCCACTTCAGAAATCAAGAGGCTAGCAAATTTTAGAGGGAGTTTAAGTGGGTAATAGCTAGCTGTAAAGGTACAGTCACTGTTGACAATTGACTCATAGGGGCTTTTCCTGCCCTCCCCCCTCAAGAATATTTTTATTGACCACAGGTGGACTTAATATATTTTAAGGCAACAATTCTTTGGGTTCTTGTTTGTTTCTTCTCAGATATTGAATTTGCTGCTTTTGAGACTTTTTTGTGCTTAATGGTGGTGAACCGGAGGGAAGTTTAACAGAAAAGCTTTCAGGAGATGTCGGTTCTAGAAAGGAAGGCACATTTGTGTCAACATAGTGTACGTTTTCTCATCTTTTCTCATTGTCCACTAATGACACAGAGCTGCCATTGAAGCGCTTTTCTGTTTCTTTTGTTGTTTCAGAGAGTAAGGTTTATTGTTATTCTTGAGTTAAGAAGGAGCAAGGAGAGTAGTACATTTGTCCTCAATATTTGTAGGTGGTTGAAGATTAATGTTCCTTATATTTTAAGTTTAGGAAGGATGGCTTTTTCCTGCTGACTACTTTTATGAGATGACATGAATTTAGCTTTCCATTTTGAAGTTACTGTTTATGTACAGTGCATTTTGTTCAGCTTTGTTTTTCCATCAATAAAGTAGATAAAGACTATCTAATAAATAGATGTTTTGTTTTAAAACTGGTTTAATTAAAAATACAACATGCTATCAAGGTTATATTTCATCAGGCAGGAAAATGTTACAGGATTTTCCATAGAGATCTTGAATGAAAAATGGAGTATTTGTATTCATTACTTTTTGCCTGAAATAGGACAGGCATTTTTTTCTTCATCTTTATCTTTTTTATGATTTGAAAGGATTTTGTAGATGCTTCATCGAGGAACTTTAACAAAGGAATTTTTTCTGTTTTTGAGCTTTAGCAAAAGGTACACTTTTTTTCTCTTGCCCTTCAGTTTCCTGTTACTTAAGATCTAATTTAGTAATTAATGACCCGAGGAATTAGACATTACATATATATTTATTTTGCAAATGTTTATTGTACACCTTCTATGTTAACTGCTAGATTTATTTACTTTTTAGCATGTCAGATCAGGTCTCTATATTATTTTCTCTAGGAGTTTATATGTTGTTATAAATAGCATAGTACATATTATTGACTGTTAGGAGCTAACGTTTAGACAACAACTGAGCCAACTTTACATTCTCTTACAGCAGAATATATTTTTCCCAGTGTATGTTTAAGCATAGCAGCTTAAAAATGTTAAATCAGAGACTAATGTCAGTTATTGCATGTTACATCTGAAAGCATTGTTGGGAAAAATTCCCTGGGATGGGTCCCAGCTCTTCCTTGCCCTGGTACCGTCCGTGATCATGGTGCTGTTTGGAGTGTGCATAAGGGTGCATCTATCTGTGTGTCTGGAGAGGGGTGAGTGCAGGGTGTCATTTGGTGCCTGACAGTGGAACAGTGCAGTTGACTCTTAGCTCTGCTATCCAATGACATGCAGTGGCTGAGAGTTTGAAGCTGATGGTTGGGTCTCCAGTGCTGCCTGCACACCTGACAGGCAGCTGTTAAACCGAGCAAAGGCAAGCTCAGGGAGTCACAATCTATGCATAAATGATAGGAGTATCTGTGCAGAAGGTGCGAAGGAAGCTCTGACCCCCTCCCTCCCCCAAATCTTCCCCTTCCCAAATGAAATGCACAGTTCAGCTAGCTTCTTAACTACACTACACTACTGCTACTGGCTGCCAAGAGGCTCAAAAAATCCACCTTCACTTTTCAGTCAGAAGAGGCAGAAGTGGATGTGAGAGAAAGAGAGACACTGAGAGACAGAGAGCCAAAGAGGGCAAGAGACTTGACTTTAAGAGACTCCTGTACTGACAACTCCATGCAGTTCGGAACCAGAACGACAACGGCTGAACCAGGGTTCATGGGGACATGGCAAAACGCTGACACTAACCTCTTATTCAGAATGTCCCAACAGGTAAGTTACTTTTATATATATATATATATTTAAGAAATCTTAAATTGCTTTGTGCACTTTTGTTTCTGGTTATTTTTCTAGATATTTTAAAAAATTTGATCACTTAATCGTTAGGCTCTGTTTTGTCATAACTGTGTGAGTGGAATGTGCAGGGTTACTTCACGGTTTCCCTAAGGGCTCCTTAAAAGAAAAAGGGTAAAGGATACTGAAGTAAAAAGAAAGCATTTGCATTTGTTGCAAAGTTTCACAGTACTGCCTGGGTTATGGAGACAATTTATTTCTTTGTTTTCTGTTACAATTACAAAAAAAAAAGCCACCACCCAACACATGTATCTTTCTGTCTGTATTAATCACTTCGTCAAAAGTGTCTGCTAGCTCGGAGTGGGTTCTTCAGCTAGTCATAGAAAATGTGGGGGCTTCTCAGCAGCCCCGCTGACTTCCTGGGGCTGGATGCAGCTCCAGTCCGACCCGGAGGAGACAAGGCTGTGCAGGAATCCCTGTGGGCGCGACGGACGCAGGAGGAGGCGGCGCGTGGCGGGCCGTGTGGGTTGGTGTCCCCGCTTCTCCACGCCGGCCGCCC